TCCTGGAACTCACTTAGTAGCCCAGGCTGGCCTCGAACTCACAGAGATCCACCTGGCTCTGCCTCCCGAGTGCTGGGATTAAAGGTATGCGCCACCATCGCCCGACCCTGCCACCATGTCTTAATGTTACACGCAGCTGTATAATATTATGAACACTAGAAGGATTGGGGTTACCACACAGAAAGTGTCCAGTAGAGGGCGTGACACACAGTAGGACTATGGTAAATAAAAGCTACGAGAGGCCAGATAGTACTCTTGTTTGTGGTTCCCTTCGGAGAACAGTTTAAATCCAGCATATGAAAAGGGTTTTGGTCGTGGTAGCCCAGGCCTAGGGCAGAAGGTAGAAGTGAGGAGTGTCCAGGACTACATCGGGAGCTGTCTGCTAGTCCAGCCAAATAGGCGTGGCACTTTTTCTACTGGTCCACCTTCTCCTATTAGAGCTCATTGGTTTTGGTAAATGCATGGGAAGTAGGGAGGCATTTAATGGAATCACTTCAAACACTAAGAGCCATTATCCCCTCCTGATCACATTCCAGGGTTTGGTTTGGTTTGGTTTGGTTTTTTCCTTTCTATTTCACGTATACAGAATTGCCATGGCAGTGACTTTGGGTTTTGCCAGCTGAGGGACCTGCCGCGTGACCTTCCTTCACCATGTTTACAGTTGACTCACACCTGCTCTCTGAGGGTTTCAGGAGGGAGGGACCTTGACAAGCATCGGAAGGAAGGCAGGTGGCTGCAAGCTGGTTTGTGAGCTGTCCGCTGCTGTTTTCCTTCAGCTCACTCCCACTACACGCCTCCACCTCAGCACACGCTTACGGTTCTCTCTCCAAATTGCCAACGGTTCATTTCTTATACTTTAGTCGACAGATCAGCTAGACCGTCTCTATGTCCTCTCTCCTGATGTGGCACAAGCCTGTGCTAGGAATGGCATCGGGGTCCTGAATGTGGAATCTCAGCTTAGTCCTTCTCCAGCCAGATGCCTTATGAAATCCTTTTTTTTTTATGACTCTAAGCCTATTTTCCCTTACTCTAAAATAGGACTTACTCGGGTGGCTGAGATATAAGGGTTAGGAATTCAAGGCCAGTCTGTGCTACTCAAGGAATCTGTTTTCATAAAGAGCACAGGTTGGTTGTGGTGGGGAAAGACATGTACTTCTCATAACAATTCAGGACCAAATAAGATAACAGATAGACATACTTCATGGTGAATAGTTTTAACATAAAGTACATGATCTTAGCTATGGAAAGACTTCAGTTTGGTATCATAAAAAAGATTGACACTGTTGTAGAATCAGTCTCCAGTATCCTTCATCTTACAAAACGAGACTCTCCACCCTGAAAACAATAGCTCTGTATTCCTCTCCTACTTCACTTTCCGACTCTTGGACTCTTCTGGGTATTTAAACAAATGAAAAAAATACAGCATTTGTCTCAATGTGACTGGTTATTTAACTTAGTACAATACCCTCAAGGTTTAGCCGTGTTAGATTAGTAAGTGTTAGATTTCCTGTCTTCTCGCCAGGCAAGCCAGCATGCATGTGTGGGTCGAAGCAGGAGGATTCTCTGCCAAGGCCAGCCTGGGTTATCTACTTAGGTTCTTTGCACATTTTAGTTACTGGGAATTAGACTGCTATATAATTCTGGGTTTAAACACCACTTTGATGTCCTCCTTTTGGTTCTCTGGGGTATGTCCCCAAATGTTGAATTGCTGGACATAGGGCAATTCTACTTTTAAGTTGTTAGAAACGTCCATACTGTTTTCCATGGCAACCACATCATTTTACATTCCCACCAATGCCAAACACAAGGATTCCTATTTATCAACATTTTTCTCTATCAGCCATCCAAACAGATGTGAGCTGGCTAGTGGTTACTGGTTTTGAAGTAATGTAATCATGTTTTTTTTTTTTTTTCTTTGCTGTCTGAAGCCAACTCTAAAGGCATTACTTGGTAGAATGTAATCTTCATTGGAGTGTTTATGCAAAGCAGAATTGTGCATTTGATAACCTTCAAACCCAGGCCCTCTACAAAGACCACTGGTTCAGTGTGAGGCAAACCTGACTATGTTCGGTTCATTTCCCCTTTCAGTAAATGTTCATTAATTGCCTACTATGTAGACAGAACACACAGTTTTCACCATCAAAATCCTCTGAGATATTTTTGTGTACTATTAGGGAGATATAGACTGTAAGTAAACACACAAGAAAGTCTTAGAGGCAGGAGCTAGATGGGGAATTGGATAGGTCTTCCAATGGTGTGTGGTACAACTCCTGATCTTCAAAGAAACCACAGAAAAATCATTGTTTTGCTCAGTCATATACCAGAGTGGGTGCTGGCCTCGGTGATCTGCAATGTCTCTTCAGTACTACACTGTTTCCTTCTTCCTGGTATGTGTGGGGAACAGATATGATTTGGGCTTTTCTGCTTATCACCTCCTGAGATTTCAGAGTTGAGGGCATGAGGTACATGGCATAGGGTGGGCTGGGAGCTAACAGTGGGTTAGAGCCTTCTGGTGAAACCACAGCCCATTTTGATGGGCCCCTCCTCCCCATGAGCTTAAGTTGTCTTCGGTGTACCAGCTTTCCCAGTCCCCTTGCTAGTACCACTACCTTGGAGCCTTTCTTGTTGATTTTGAAACGACTTCGCTATGGTCTCTTTGCTTTGACTCTGAGCTCTAATCCTTCATTTATCCAGCTGTTAGACAAATCTGTTTAACAACACAAACCTGATCATATAGGTCTCTTACATGCTGAAAATCCTTCAAATTGGCTTCCTTGAGCTCTCAAATCAGCTCAAATACAGTTGCTGAGCATTGAGATGCATCCTCACGCCTCCCCTGGACTTTCTGACATCACCGGGGCCCCTTCCGCAGCAGACTGCCCCATTTCTTCCCTCACTGCATTGCATACATTGCCCCCTCACATCTCTTTGTGCTATTTCCTCTGCCTGGAAGGCTCATCTTTCTCCTAATTCCTGGAATTAGCAAATCTGAATGGCTAATTCCTGGAATTAGCAAAGCTTCAATGGCAGTTGAAAAGATGTGTTGTCTTCTAGGAGCGAGACACTGAAGTTATGATGACCCCTAGACCAGTCCCTTTCTGATTCATGAAACGAGGGAAACAGACATCCGTGGATCGCTGCAGTATAATACAGGGAATTACTGCACACACAGCACAATAGAGACTTGGAGATGCAATGGAGATACCAAAAAAAAAAAAAAAAACTTTCCTGGAGATGACAGCAGCCATCAGTAGGACAACAGTGGGAGGGTGTCCAGAAAACAAGAAGCACATGCCTACAGGTGTGGCGCAGCCTGCTCTACAGATGGAGGAGCGAACAGGTCCACTCACTACCGCTCCCAGTGTTAGAGGGTGAGGCTGCAAAGCCAGTCTCCTAAGAGTACTTGAGGCCACCTTTAGAGCAGGGAGCATGACTGACGGTTCTACCACTGAAGAGCCAAACGCAGTCTACAACAGATAACCAAACCGACACCACCACCTCCACTCTGCCTGCTTTCCCCTGCATGCAGCCTGACTCATCCAGCTCAGTGCAGTGAACCTGCCCTTCAGGCAGAGGCAGAAAAGGTCCAGAGATGGAGGACATCTCCAGGCAGTCTCTCTGCTGCATCTTTCCAAGCACAGGTGAGGGAAATGAGCACAAGAGTCTATCTTTTGGGAGCCAAGATTGCCATGCTATACAGTGAATGGCAGCATTCGTGAGTTCCGCTATGTGGCATACAACATCTTTCCCAGTGCACCTGGTGATTCTCCATGTAATCTATGATAAACCCCTTGCTGTTTAGACCAGTAACAGCAGATTTGGTCATCTACAATGACAAACACTGACATATCCATCCTGCCATGCTTTCCTCCACAGCACCTCCCAGAACTCCGCATGTTACCTATCACCCTCAGTCAGGGTAGAAACTCCACAAGGATGGGCCCTGTTGTATTTAGGTATTGATTACTGCTGCCACATCAGAACCTGGAAGAATAGTAGTCTACAACAGCTGCTAGATAAAAATTTGGTGA